TTATGATTAGTGCATTAAATTTGTTTGATATCTTTTGCGTAGGGAAAAGGCACTAACTAAGTAATGACTTAAAATGCAGTATCCTCGTGCTATAGCCCTTTAAAGCTATGGTAAAATGCCGGGGCAACAAAAACGTGCAACTTGTTTTGCAACACTGCTGCAAAACGAGTTGAAAAGCAATGTTGCGCGTTTTACCACTCACGAATCAAACCTGTCTTGTAGCAAATCAGGTTGTTGCAAGCTGCGTGAATACTGACTTCTCATTGGATAAAGTTACGCGGGAGCCACGCCGTGCACGGTAATTACGTCACTGGTTGCAAAACAAGTTTGCCTTGGGCCGGTAAAACGCACAACATGTACAGATTTTGTTGCAAAAAGTAGAACTAGGCTCTACTTTCCACAACAAGACATTTGATTGGTGGGTGGTAAAACGCGCAGCATCGCTATTGAACTGCATTTTGCGGAAAAAAAGTTGCACTTTTGTGCGGCCCGTTTTACCACACTTTAAGTAAGTGGCTCATCCAGCTTTTCCATTTCCTAAGATAAGAGGGGGACCCGGCCTTGAAAATAATTTTTTCTCGTCCCAGCGGGCCTCAGTTTTGCCAGAAATTATTAATCTCGCGTGAAAGACTGTTGATTAGCGTTTGCTTACCTTAGCCTTAATTTCAGTTATCTTCATTTAGAGTTTTCTATCCTACAGCTAAAAAGCGGACAGGAAGTTGAAGCTTGTGTCCAACTCATCAAAGATAACTACATTGTGGTGATACTTCCTCAGCATGGCTACCGGCTGGCTTATTCACCTACTAAACTGGTATGGCTTATTGGAGACCTAGGAGTTGGGTCTATTTTGTAGAAGAAGTCCGTAAATTTTACGTGTCAGTCAAAGAAAAGGCACTTTACTCAAATCATTAATGATTAAAAATAATTACAAGTCTGAGTGATCTGTGAGTAGCATTGGTCAGTCATTTTCGAAGTCATTACTATCTCAAAACGTATTGTTAATTAAGTCTCATAGTCTTATTAGGTCTTAAATTTCTATAGAAAGAAAGAGAAAAGAGAAAAGAACAGCACGGAAGAGTAGAAAAGATTAAGCAAAGCCGGAATTAAAAGTTAGCAATTAATTATTGATGGTAAATGAGACAACAGCCAGTCTGTCGATAAAGAAATCAGTCAGTCAGTCAGTCAGTTAGTTCGGCAATTCAGTTTGTAGTCAGTCTGTTTGGTTATCAGCCTGCAAGTCAATTAATTGAACGGTTTATCGCTTCACCCGTGAGTCAATGAATTAACCAGTCAGTCGGCTCAAGTATTTGGTCAGTTAGTCTTTCAGGCAGTTATTCATTGGTTAGTCGGCCAGTCAGTAATATAACTAATTCAGTCACTGAGTCTGTGGTTCAGTCAGTTTGTCAATTCGTTAGGCACTCAATGGATATGTCAGTCAGTCTGTCCGTTCATTAGGCAGTCAATAAATCAATTATTCAGTCGACTCATCAACCTGTCAATCTGTCAGTCAGTCTGACAGCCGGTCGGTTGGTCAATCAGTCAGTCAGTCAGTGTGACTGTCAGTTAATATATCATTCTCTCAGTTCATAACCTGCCCAATGAATCGGTCAGTAAGTCAATATCCTGTTGTTTCATCAGTCAGTCATTAGGGTGTTTTGTCTGTTCGTCATTTATCGACAAGTACTTCCATTCAATTTTACATAAAATGCAACCATAACATACATTTCTCGTAAGAAGAAAATTTTGTTTCGCTCTGTTAAGTGTTATTTGTTTTCTTTCCTAGCATTTAAATGACATCAGCGATGCGTCCAAGCGATTTGCGGTAGGACAGACGTATTCTGCTTTTGTACAACGACAAGGAAGTATGAAAGATAATCTTCTACCGCTCGTAACGCTTCAAGAAAAACACGTTGGAAAGGAAAATATTATACCTGGGGCCATAACCACTGCACAGTAAGTAACTAAGGAGTAATTAAAACTTTGTATTAAAAAAAAGTCTCACGAGAGAGAATTTTTGCTTTTTAGGGTTAAATCAGTCAAAGACTTTCAGATGAACGTGAACTTATGCGGTGGGAAATTTCACGGAAGAGTGCATGTCACACATGTTTGTGATGAAGTCACGGAGGTGAGAATATAAAATGGAGGTTGGAGAACACGGGAAGTAAAGTTGAAGGGATATGTCCCAGGGATACCGGTATATGCCGGGAATATGTTGGTCCCAGGGATTTGTTGCAGTGATATGTCCCGGAATTATTTGAAGGGATGTGTCCCAAGGATATGTCCCAGTGTGTTTTGTGGGGATATGTCCCAGATATATGTTCCCAGGATACCGGTATATTCCGGGAATATGTTGGTCCCAGGATTTATTGTAGTGATATGTCCCAGAGTTATTTGAAGAGATGTGTCCCAAGGATATGTCCCAGGGTTATGTTGTAGAGACATGTCCCTGGGATATGTTGCAAGGATATGTCCTAGAGATATGTTCTAGAGATATGTCCCAGAGATATGTTCCAGCGATACGTTTTAGGGACAACAATTCCAGGGCTCGCACAGTCTTGACAAGTCCTTGAATTTTAGGGGAAGTCCTTGAAAAGTCCTTAAATTTCTGTGCAAGTCCTTGAAAGGTCGTTGAATTTTCTTCAACATTGAATGTAGGGACCTGGAAAGTGTTATTGAAGGTTTTTGGTTGTCTAAAACAGTATATAATGAAATCATAACTGAGAGAATTTAAAGGTTATTTGCATAAAGTGCTCTATGTTTTATGCAATAATTGACTATCAATTTAAGACAAGTGAACTGAAAAATGTAGATAAGTTGGTGAAGCGAACAGTTCAAGCCTTAAAGTCTCATTAGAATAAACTGGGAATGTGCATTTTTCTACCAGCTGCGAAATTATATTCCTATTAGGTGGTCCTTGAAAATATGTGATCCTTAACAAAGTTCTTGAAAAATAGTTGCATTTTTTTGTATAAACCCCGAATTCTGTGTCGGGTGAAAATGTGCACAGTAGTGAAACTTGTTCTTGCAACGGAAGCAATAGTTGAATCTACGACCAGCCTTTTTTTGTGATGTGCTCTGGGAAAGATGGCAAAAACACTTGTTTCCACGTCATTTTCCCGCGTACTGTCAACTCGCTTTTGACATATGCTTCTGCGTTTGTTGAGTCACCTCTTATTCTGTAGGGCGAGTCTCCTTTCAAAGCTTTTCATAATGGAGACAAGGTTCAAGTTAAAATAATGGGATTCAGGGACACAAAGACACACAAGTAAGTTCGTATATAAGATGTGTCTGTGATAGCTCATAGTTCGTTAATGCTTTATTTGAAAATGGGGTATCCTATATGGTGTTATGTCGCGATCGATGGAGCTGAAAGAGAAGTCCCGGGCGACAATAAATCTTCTGTAATTAAAGGCTTACATTAGACTTACAACGTTGCTCAAACTACGCTTTACTATACACTACAGCTTTGATTTATTGTCTGTTTCTGTACTAGATTCCTACCTATATCGCACCAAAATTTTACCAAGGCTGTGGCAGAGCTTACAATCAAACCAAGGTAATGCTGTTATCATTCATTACGAATTTCAGTCCTGTCTTTTCATGCAACGTCCATATTTTACAACGTGATTACCAAAAACATGCAGTAGCCTACAAAAACAAACAATTTGAACTTACATGAAATTAAAGGGGACAGACAGCTAATTGTTGTCGCCAGAAATACCTATATGTCGTAACTGTTCATTAGTACCATGCCTAAAATGTGTGCAATTCCACAATTGGTTATTGGCGAGGTCACCAAACGGAATCTAGAGGACTTAAAGATTTATCCTTCCAAGATAGTCCAAGGGCGTTTGCCCAAAAGGTTTACTGTTCCCAACGAGGTTACTGTTCAGTTTGCAGTAAACCATGTTTGTGGTTACGTTTATTCCTATCTGTAGTAAGTTTACATTCTTAAGCAGTAGTAAAGTAGGGACCTGTTAGACTCCTTTTTTCGAAGGAATGCATTAACACCTATGGCGTCATAGCTGTTTGCCTTTGTCTCATTAATAACTGTAGTGTACAGTCTTGGTCTTGTAGGCTGATGGACAGCCGAATTCGATTCGTGAGTTCGATTCTCATCTGGAACTCGGAACTTTTTCTGACTTTTCTGGTGTAAGAATTCTCCTTCTTCCAAAAATAAATGAGATTAAATGATCATTTGCTATATAGTTTTAGGTCATATAACCCATTTGATAGGTTTACAAGTTATTTCAAAATCGATAAATACCTTGCTTTTTTAATTTGGTTGACTAAAACATAAGAAAAGTGTTCATTGGTTGACTTAGCCTGTGACTCAAAATCACTGTCCCAAAACTTCATTATGCAAGTTCTATTTCCTGCCGCTTTCATCGTCTGTTACGGACAACGAATTTTTCTAGTTCCGGTTCACTGATTCTTGGTGTGTAAATCGTGCATATTTTTGAGTTCGAAGGCAAACGAGCTATTTCCATTTCTAAACACAATGTTTTACTTACCTTTCCCCCCTTCTTATTTCTTCACAATTCAATTATTTCGATCCTCCTCATTTTTTGTTCCCTCCTCCACCACCATATTTGATCTTACTGGGACTTGAAAGGCAAGAACAGGAAAATCTTTTTCAACTGATAACTATTTTAAAATGTTTCTTGATGTGTTGAGTAATGCTGTGTTCATACTATACCGTATGGCTTTTGCACCGCAGGAAAATCGTACTGGATAGGGCTTCTGTTCACACATAAAGACGGTGATTTCGGCGTGATTTCTGTAACGAAGAGAAGCCGAGACGCGTCGACTCTAAATTGGAGAGTCTTATATCGGATAGGAGTTCATACCATACCGGATAGCTTTTGTGTAGTGTGAACTTAGCCTAATATTACGATGCTACGTATTAACAGTGAGGGTTTTTTCTTGGTAATTTGTCAAGTGAGTTGTCGCCAGCCAGCGCTGGAAAAGAGGACACGGAATCCACCGAGGACCGTGAGTTGGACAAGAAACTGGATCAGTATAAAGTTGGAGAAGAAGTAAATTGCTTCGTGAAAATGGTGAGTTTCATAAAAACCCTGTAACAACATAATCGCGAATATTACCAGGAATGGTACCGTTGATAATGGAGGCACCACAGTTATAAACCATCTGTTCGCTCGTAATAGTTCAAGCAATGTCTTTATACATAGCCTCAGTATTAGGTATCACTTCTTTGCTCCTTGTAGGCCACTGATCACTGCGTATGGATGATGGCGAGTCCGTCAGTTAATGGAAGAGTTACACTATTACATGCTTCTTCAGATGTGAAGGTAGAGTTAAGACCATCAGATGTTTTATATCTAAAAGCCTTGCTTTCAACCAAGAAAAAAATAATAATAGACCCTCCAGGTTTTTTTTTTTTACACTGCGTAAACGTACCTCGTTTAAGGGTCATACATCCTAAGCAAGCGAAGATGTTGCTCCACAGAGATGTTTGTATATTGGAGGGTACGATCTCCCCTCCCCCCGTCTCTAAACAAAAGTCTGTAAAATTCGGTGACTTTGCAGAGTTATACCCTCGTTAATTTTAAACAAATCACTTTCAACCTTGGCAGCGTCTCCGGTTTCCAGGTGTTCTTTCCAGCTGTGTTCACGAATCTCAGTCAAAAATTGAAAAAGCCGTGGAAGGGTCTATCGTCATTAGTATACATAAGAGGTAGAAAATGGTTCGTCGATTATCCCTTTGTTTGTTTGTTAGCCTGTTCCAGGCGTTCAGGTGAGATGCCAAGGTGGTGTCAAGAGAAGTGAGCAGAAAAAAAATCAGTGAGGGGTGGGGAAGGGAGTAAAAGGGAAGGCACCTCCTCTCTTCCCCTCTTCCTCCTAATTTTTTCCCGCTTTCTGACTTTGCGCCACACTCTAATGGAGAGCTTTAGATTCGTGGACGAGGACGACAACGGGTACGAGACTTTCTCAATACTGAGTACTGCTTATGCCTGAGCCAGCGTCATTTTGGCGGGAAAACGTGATAGCCGTCGTCATTCTATGACGAGTTTCAGCGAGAATGCCGTAATGGCGTGAACAGGTCATCAAATGTAAGAACTTTTATCATTTTGCTATCGAGAGAGGGCTTAGCCTCCTTCACTATAAATAAACGTACTAACTTTTTTGGTGAAAAAAAAGTAAAATGAAGCTTTCCGGAGTGTCTTCTTTTTGAGAACACGCGCAAAAGCTTTTAAGTTAAATCTCGTACTCGTACTCGTTCTCGTCCTCAAATCTAAAGCTCTGTATTATCTGGACGCCTAGAACAAGCTAGTTTTTCGTTCATTAACTCTTTACCATTCTGTTTATTGCATCGTATCTTGTTTTCAGGTACTGAAGTCACTTAAGACACGTTTTAAGCCCGGTGATGGCTACAGATGCTTGGTATTGAATGTAGACAAGGAGCGAAACTTCCTGGATCTTTCAATCGCCGGTAAGCTTGCGTCCATGGCCCGCAATTTTAGTGATGTAGGGAGATCACTTTCGTGCGATTCCAGTCACTTGGAACTGGTGGAATAGGTAGGGCTTACATTTGATAAGGAAGTGCTGATAAGGAAAAATTAGCAGACTACCCTGAGGGAGAGTATATGGTGCCTACCATAAATTACTTGCCCTCATCGCCCTCATATGTAAGGTTCCTCTTATCCGCTGACCACTTGCGAACGCGATTATGGGACATGTAACGTGGTAAACTCACACGACTCACAGTCAACTATAGTAACCGTTTGCAATATAAATTACACAAAAGATGATTTTGGCGTTAGCAAACTCGAAGCTGTGTGCCCCTCTTGAAATTCATTTCCCAAGTTCAGTGGCTCGTGGGCATTTTAGTTTTTACTTGTTAAAGGCTCATTGGCGTAAACACGTGAGCCTTATTCTCGAATTTCTCTTTTCCAGTCAAAGCCGATTCAGTCTTCAATCCTGGCAAAGTGATTGTTGGGCAAATTTCAAAGGTTCTCCCCGATCAAGCTCTCTATGTCCGGCTGCCCTTGCAAAAGAGCGGTATGGTCGCTCTGACTGATCTCCGGGACAGCTACGTGTACAATCCTTTAGAAGGCTTTGAAGTTAATCAAATTTTACGGTAAGTCGACTCCGCTACTGATTAATAGTTATTATTATTCATTCAAAATATTTCCCCGATTCTGATTGGCTAAAAGCACACGCATAATTCACCATAACCAGTTTCTGATGACCAAATTTGGAAGAATTTTGTGTTTAACGAGGAAATGACGTCAAAAATGAAGCGTTCGTGCAGGTTAAGTCACCGTTAACCGAGAAGACCTGGGGACGAGGTTGAGTTGTTTTGGTTGTGAAAACAAAAAATGGCTGACATTTCACTCGTTTCAAGTGTAAGAACTAGGCGGAAAAATAGCTAAAAGCATGGCAAGAACCGCAAGAAGACAACTCGAAGGGCGACATCTGCTATTTGGCGAATATTTGCGGAGCTGGACAAACCTAAACGTGCACTATCGAAGATGAACTTAACATCGATGGATCAATGGGGGTAAGCATGTTTTAGCAATGTTTTTAAACTAGGAATTATTTTGAATGGATAATAAAACAATTATTGAATTCGGCTTTGGTACCATATGAAGAATTATGGAGATCTCGGAGGGTGTTATCCGCTTCGGCCTACGGATAACACCCTCCTCGTTCTCCATAATTCTTCATAAGATACTCAACTTCATTCATTCATTGTTAAGTAGTCCCAACCCTTATGGCGCTGTGAAGTACTACTCAGCTGCACTTCCCTTTGTTATTGTTCATGATGTTGGTGACGGCGATTCTAAGTTAAGAGCGCGTTTATCAAAACTCTGAGCGTTTTGAAATTCTTTTTTGAAGCAGCAGAGCAGTTTTATCTTGAGATAAGCTCGCTCTGTTTGTTTTTCCATCTGTGGGTGAACAGCATTTAAATATGAAAACTTTTGAGGATTTCTTTCCAGAGGCACTTACTGGGAGCACATAACATTCGCCGGTTAGTAAAAGTCTTCCGTTTCACAATAGGGACCTTAAGATACGACGGTGACGGCGACGGCAACAAGAACGGTAAAACTGTAAGCAAAACAGCTATGCACGTGCGTCATGGTTTTTTTGTGCATTTCTATGCTGTCACTACACGACCACGACTTGAAAATGCCCAATTTCACGTTTATAAAGGACGTAAACAAGCCATGACAAAAGTTTCTTTCTTTTTCTGATCTTGGATATGGTGCTTAATAATTTAACTCCAGATGATTTGGGCTACAATTGGCATAGTAAGTGATTTTGTCGAATCGCAATGAAGATTAAAAGAACAAGAATTTTTTAAGCGAAATTTGCGCTGCCGTTGCCATCGTTGGATCTTAAAGGTACGGAAAAAACGAGCATTAAATTCGTGCAACTTGTTTTGGAACATTGCTGCAAAAGCATTGTTGCGCGTTTTAACTCTCCTGGAACAAATCAGGTTTGCGTTAAAACTGACTTTTGATTACGCGGGAGTCACGCCATTGACGAGAGTGACGTCACTTGCTGCAAAACAAGTTTGTCTTGGGCCGGTAAAACACACAACAGAGCAAAAAGTGGAACTACTCTGCAACATCTTTTCTCAACCTGCAACAACACGATTATTTGTTGGAGGACAGGTGTGAAGGTGGGTGGTAAAACGCATAACATCGCTATTCAACTCGTGTCGCAGCAGTGTTACAAGACAAGTTGCACGTTTTTGCTGCCCGTTTTATCCTACCTTTAAGTAAGAGTGAGTTCACTGGTTATACTAACTCCAAAAATTGTCGAACTAGCGAAAATTTTTTCTTCACTTGCAGCTGTTTCGTTTTATCAAGCAACGAAAAAGGTCAATTGGATTTGTCACTGAGACCTTCCAGGTGAGAAAGCATTCTGACTAATGAGACCTTAAGAACC